GGGTGTTCTTAACCCAGGGACTACCTGTACCTTATTTAGGTCATGTAACTAAGACTATTCAACTAAAGTTAACTTGGTTGGGTGTCATTAGGCTCTAGAAGCCTTCAATATATCCTCCATTCCTTGAAAGAAAGTGATGGAGATAGAAAGTTCTCAACATTGTATACCCCTCAAAGTGGGAGGGGAGGGATTAGGAGGAAGAAGAATAATACAAAATATTATCTTTCAAATCTATGAAAGACACTAGCATAGTGCAGAATCATGGTTTCCTTTTTTCTCAAATAACCTAGGTTTGGAAGAAACAAGAAGGAATTGGTCTGTTGTAGCAGATTCCCAGGGCAAGTTCAAAGAAGGTCTTCCCACAGCCCTAGCTCATACAAAATCTTTGGATGTCCACAAAGAGATGCTGAGGGGGGATGTTTTGACCTCTTCCTTTGGAAACCAAAAGATCTTAAAGAACTAAGAGACCTTCAACATTTATGAGACTGTAAGACTGATTATTGCAAGAGGGTCAAAGAATGGTTTAAGAAGAAGAGGCAAGTTAGATGTACAAAGAAAAGGTGTGATGCTGAGCTTCATTTGAGAACAGCACTAGAAAATAAAAGATGTTAAGATGCGATTAAGAGTGTGCATGTTATGTATCTTTTTTTACCATTTATGGTCAGTCTAGCTGTGGTCTGCTGTCCTCCACATTTGCACATGTAATCTCCAGAATCAGTGACATCCAAATCCTGGATCACCAGCTCAGCACAAGGACCTTCCTGTTTTAGTTGGTATTTTCCATCTGATTTCAGTGCCCTTGGTCCTTTGTACCATTCCACAGGAGCTGCCTTGTTCAGCTTGCACTGCAGCGTGGTTGATTCCCCCTCTGTCACCTCCTTGCTTTTTAACTCTTCTTGGAAAAACACAGGCAGTGCTGAAGAATGTGATATGGACAAAGACAGGATCAAATTACAGAATGCATTAGATCTTGATGGATAGGTGGACACAAAATCTTTGCGACCTTTGAAACATACTGTGACAAAAAAGATCAGGAAAACTAAAACAAGGTGTAGCTGTAAGAAAAACCTTCTGAGAAGATCTTGCTTATGAAACCACTTTAAACATTATAGCAGAAATATCTTAGCTATCAGCTGTCAGGAGCAAAAAGAAACCCAAAGAAGATCAGT